AATGTTAAAACAGTGGATGACCATGTTAAAACAGTGGATGACAATGTTAAAACAGTGGATGACCATGTTTGACAGTCTTTACTCATTAATTAATAAGTGCTTGTAAAATGTTAGAAAAGTCATGGAGATATATTGACATTTACCTACTGTGATAGTTTGGCACTATTCCTGTTTCTGATATCAATGAGTAGTTGACATGTCCTGAGAAAAATGGAAAAACAACAAAAAGTTAGCGCTGAATTCATTTGAGGAATAGTATCATTTTCTAAGTCTTGCATTGTTACGCCCCTGTCTAATCACTATGCTACGATTTAATTTTTTGACCTTATTTTCTTTCCTGAGGGGCAGTTATGACTTTATTTATTCATTATTCATTTAAAAGAAAAACAGCAGGCAGAGGAAGAAAAGATCACCCATCACATGATGTGTTCCTTCAGCATCAATAGGAGCCTTTAACCAACTGAGAAAGACCCTTTGGGCCAAATGAGGAAGAGTTGTTCATTTGTCTCGTTTGCATCTGGTCCTGTATTCAAACAAGAAGCTGGTTTAGTATTAGAATCTTCCCCTTGTTTATGGTGAGCTTAGTACTAAACGAATGCTCAGTCTAGATCATTACTGCTCTGCAATTCGTGTGAGTAAAGCTACTGTTGACTTTGCAAAGGCTACAGCTGCTTTCTTGTTTATATTTCAAATGGTCTTTAAACAAAAGTACAGGATTTTTCCCATACCTTAAAGATAGCCCATACACATTCATAAACGCTGTCTGTGTTATGTCTCTATCACACTGTATGTGTAAAATGTCCTTGATCTGTTAATCACAATCCTGTGGCCTTAAAACTAGAATATCTTCCATGAATATTCAAAGTACTAACCAACAGTGAGCTCTTATCTAAAGGATAGGCTTGATATTTGTCCTTCCTGCTCATGTGAGCTGCTGGTCACAATCCAGCATCATCTGTGAACCTAACCAGCTTAGCGTGGGTCAAGAGTTAGCGAGAGCACATTAGTCCTGACAGCTGTTTCAAGAGTGTCTCACGTGTGACTCGCTGTGGGTGAAGGCCTCAGTCATTATAACACGAGAGAAGCAATGAAACTTTATTTGCAAGTTTTAATCCTAATGGTTCTGTTGGTCTTTTTTAGCAGGAATGCTAGCTAGAGCTCTCACCTGTTCATCTCCAGCAATGGCCCTGGTGAAGTGTACTGTTAGTGTTAGTGATAACCATAGTTTCTACATGAGACACTCATGTTTCGAGTCTAAAATGTCCTTCTTTAACCTTGCACTGGAGCTAGGAGGCTAATGTAGCTAGTAAGTTTACACTCTACCAAATTAGAGTATTGTGCAAAATGTGTGGCTAAATTATCACAGACCATGTGGTGCTGTTTTAGCTATAAGATGTACTTGTTTTAATAGAGAACAGAATGGTATGTCTAACAGTGTCAGAAACCTGTTAGCTACGTTAGCCTCGTAGCTCCAGAGCAGAACTAATTAAATTTCATTTTAATTTTTTTTCTTTATCAGCAACTTTTGGGGTTAAGATGTAACTGCTTAGCTGTTACTTTCATTGACTTTGCGCTGTAGTCCTCTTGAATGAGTGGTGACATGTCGTGCCGGAGTCTCAGGTTGAATTTCATCACTCTGCCACCAAACATGGAGTTGTGTGGTGTTATGAAATCTAATAACAGGTTAGATAGCAACAGCATTTATCTCAAATCCCTCTGAAGGGTCTGACTACAGCAACCTGTTAATCAAACGGGAAACGGTCACTTTGTGTCATAGTAAATAGTCACTGCATGCCAAGGCTTGCCACTAATTGGCTAATGCTTTTAGTCCTGTGTCTGAAGCTGTTAGCAAGTCTGTTTTGTGCTCCTTCACTCACAGAATTTGGTAGGTTTAGTTATATTTACCCAAGTACAGTTTTGATGGATTTAAATAGAGTATTTTCAAATGACGATACTTGTAAAGTATATTTGCAAGGAAAAGAATCTGCTTTTTACTCATGCTATACTCTTTTGCATTTACTTCCTAATTACTTTTTCATGTTTAGTAAAAATAATAATAATAATAATAATAATAATAATATGAAGTTGAATAAATTATGTTTGTAAAACTTTTTTTTTTTAACTTTGAACTTTAATAGGGGCACAACAAAATGCATGTTCAGGTTTGCTATGATTTTTCATTCCGGGGTCAAGATTCAGTTAGATTTTCAATAATTTATGTGTTAAAATTCTCTAATTATATACTACACACATTGGTTTGACTCTAACTTCTCCAGCAAAACATTTCTAGTCCCTGTTATGCCAGCCCACTAACAAACCATACAATTTAATGCCCACTTCAGAAAAAGTAGCTTATGAAGGAGTTTTTCATTTTACTTTATAATTCTGTTTTGTGTGCTTTACTCATTCTTTCCAGGGCCTGATAGTTAACTGCAGTGTCATTAACTGAGTGCCTCTGATTGAAAGAACAGATTAAAATCCATCAAAATGAGCAAAATAGTAAGCTTCCTTTCTGTAGACATGTACATCCATCGATCCATCATCTAAACCGCTTATCCTTCTGGGTTGCGGTGGGGTGCTGGAGCCTATCCCAGCTGTCATTGGGCGGAAGGCAGGATACACCCTGGACAGGTCGCCAGTCCATCGCAGGGCAGACATAGACATGTACAGTTGTAATTAAAAAAAAAAAAGAAAACTGAATAAATCTGTCCAATCAAAACAAACTGTCAGATTTGTAAAACATTCTAATGTCATAGAGTACTAGTATTTACGAAACATGACTTTATTATCTTTATTAATGCAAGCTTAAGTATCATCTGGTACTGTGATATAATCAGAAAGTATTGTGATGCTGTTTTTTATTGATACCACTCAGCTATAGTCTCACCAACTGAAAGTTGCTGTAGAAGCCAGAAGCTTGGTTTTCAAGATGTTACTGCATTTAAGTTATACCTTCATTACAAGAAACAGAGCATGTTTGTCATTGCATGTTATGACGACCCTTCTTTAACGGTACTCTCGAGTGACCCACTTCTTGTGCAGTAGTGATTTGCCATGATTAGCAGTGTTTCATTGTAAATTGCTCTATATTTGTTGTTCTGCTGTTACTGGCCAGAATTGCATAATCCATTCAGCCCTGCTGTTGGTCAGAGCTTCACCCAAAAGGCTTTAAAATGACCTGGCCTGTATCACAGGATAATAAATGTGCATTATGACATGGTGTTTGTACACATTTTAAGCTGTTGCTGGTGCAAACTGGTGTGTGTGTGTATGTGTGTGTGGTCAAAACCCAATGTAGTCTGTTGCTGTAATATTTGGCACTGAGCTTTAGGCTGGTACAAAGTAACAACCCTCTCCATTTATTCTTTTCTTTTTTCCATTTTCTTTCTGTTTTCACTCTTTTGGAGGCCTGTCATCATAAAGCACCCCCACATCCTGGCAACAGCAGTGATTATGGGCTGGCCATGCATATCTACTGCTCTGCTGGATATACACAGTGTTGCTGTGCTGGACCTCAGTGATTTGTTGTTACTGTTGTGACATTAGTGTTGATCCTGTGATTGGACCTAAGTGATCAAGGATTATGATGATAGTTGTGTAAAATTGCTGTTAGTGTGGGTGTGTGTGTGTGTTTTGGGACTGTCAAATTTACCACTATGTTGGACCTCAGTGATCTGTTGTTAATGTTAGTCTGATTAGTCTGAACCCGAGTGACCAACAAGAAGGGTTATGATAGCAATGACAATAATTGCATACATTGCTATTGGTATGTGTGGTGGGGTAAAGTGTCATTTGTCATGGTGTCGGACCTCAGTGGTCTTTTTGTTCATTAGTGTTGTTAAAACAGTGGACCCGAGTGATCATCTGAGATGGTCATGATTAAAATTGCCTAAATTGTGTGTGTGTGTGTGTGTGTGTGTGTGTGTTTATATGTGAGAGGGTGGGGGTTGATATTTGAATGTGTGACCTAGTTTCTGTCTGTAGACTCTCTCTTACATTTCTGTCATCAAATATAATACCCCTGGCCTTCATCCATTTCCAGCTAAATTATTCAAGTGCGTGTGTGTGTGTGTGTGTGTGTGTGTGAGGGGCGGGGGGGGGTACCTCTTTGAGAGGTCAGGTGTGTGTTCACAGTGGCTAATGTTTGTGTTTGTGTGCTGTATTTACCCTGCAGCAGCTCTCTAACTCCCTTAAACCTGTACACGTTTATACTAACACACAGAATAGGTGTGTCTATTTGAACTTCATCCACATGAATCCAGTGCACATCTGCTTCATCATCGTGCACACACATGCACACAGTCACACATGCAGTGCAGCAGCAGTGTGCAAAGCAGCTTAGGGTAATCCATTTCTCTCTCTCTCAGGGCAGAAATCATACCGTCTGCTTCCTCTCTCACTCTTCACCCCCTTCTCACTTCTTCTCTTTCCCCACTCCTCTGATATCCCTCTTTTTCTTTCCTCTTCCTTCTTATCATAATGTCTGGCTTTGCTAAGTTCCAGCCCACCGTGGAGTAATTTGCAGTAATATCTATAACTGCTGTGTGAGTTATTCTATTGTTTGTGTGTTGTCCAGTTCTAAACTAGTGTATTAATGTGCTAATAGGTGAATGAGCCTCAGACATGAACCGTAATATAATTGGGCTACATTGACATTACAAACCTTATTAATCTGTTCTGACTTTTGGCTCAGATCTAATCTTTTTGGTGGACAGTTCAGTGCCATGTTTCTAAGTGATCTACGTACATCATTAGTGTGAACACACCTCTTCCCTGAAACAACCCGCATATGTGCAATTGTTCCTGAGGGTAAAGCTGCTGCTTACGCAGTGCTGACATTGCATGGTAACAATAGAATTTGAATCAGATTTGAATGTTCACACAACTCTGAAAGAATCCAATTTGTGTCTGATTTAGGTCAGAAAATCAGATTGAACCCTGTAATGCAGTGTTATATTGTATATCATTCATGCAAAAATTCTCTCTCGCTCTCTATGCAGATGAGATCATGCAGCAGGAGAGCAGTCCGCTCTGTGCTGCAGACATCGGCCCTGACCTCAGCAAAGGCTTCGCCTTCCTGTCAGGTGAGACCTCCTTTGTAACTTACCATCTAACCACATAATAGAATTCACTCCTGAAATCACTCATCCACAATATCTCTACTGCCTATCTGTGACCACCTCAGGGAAGCACAGGGAAATGAGGAGCGGACTGAGGTCAGAGAAGGACTGTGGTTTGAATCTGGCTTAACATATCCTCTTACACTGACTTGAGAACAGTTCTGCAGCTGGTAATAATGGTTAAGATTTGGATAAGAGGAAGGGAAGCCGGCTGCACAGCTTAACTGACATAAATAGACATATTTGGAGATGCTGTAAAATGTCCAGGCATTGCTTAGAGATTTAAACAGCATTATGGGTTTACAAATGTGTGATTGAATATAAAGTAATATTTACATATTATGTACCATGAGGTAGTCATTAATGACATTTTGAAAATTGTAAATGGATTGTACATTTACATGTATATCAGGGGTCCCACTGTGTATTAAGTGTCTGTAATAACTATGTAGTTACACATGAATAACACTAACTACTGATGATTTGGTTAATGTTACAGATGGATTACAGAACTACTGCCTATGTAATTAAACGTGATCAACTTCAGTATTGCCTCATGTAATTACACAAGTGTATCTTCTACTCAGGAACTTTCCTGTAGTGTAGTGTTGAAGTTAAAATAAATAATGGGACAGTTTCTGTGTAGTTGTTATGTAGGTACTGTGTAATAATGCAGTGGTAATATAGACGTTGATTTGGGACAATACAACACATTAATTAATGTTATAAAAGTTACATTTTAAGATAAGGGGCCGCCTGCTGTACTGTCACATATACAGACAGAATGGTTTAAAGCTGAAACTGGTTACAATGTCACAGCATTAGCAACATAAATGCTAGCTAAATGTTAGAAAAGCTGGCAGATACAGTGTTAGTAATGTCTTAATGTAGGTTATTACATACTTCCTTTAACTGCTGGGGGGGGACTTCTAAAACTGCTGTTCCAGTCTGATTACAAATGTAATTAGATTTGTGTTATTACCCTTGTGTAATTACATGAGGGAGAATAGGCTGTTACAACTATTAAGATACACTTGTGTAATTACATAAGGTGTATGTGTGTAATCTATAACAATGACTAATGCATTAATAGTTACATTGTCATTGCATATGTTGTTCACATGTAACTACACAGTTATTAGAGACACTTAATATAAAGTGGGACCATATCAGGCAATTACATGTATCTATTATATGACACATAGTGTATGTATATACATACAGCACATGTACACATTGTTCCAGATAATAGGCAGAATAACGCTGTGTGTAACAAAAGTAGTAGTTAGTTTCTGGCCACAGGACCACTTTTGTTGGAATATTAGGGGCTTCAAGCATCAATAGCTGTAGCAACAGCTACGGAGGCCAGAAAAGTAAGTCTGCATGAACAGCGTAGCCACTGAGATCCAATTTGCTAAGCAACATCTCTAACAACAGCAGTGTTAACTGTCTTTAATCACCCAGAATCAAATAAGTGATTACAAAATAACAGAAAAGGTATGGAGATATCAGTGTTTTGTGAGCAGATGGCATCTGACACAGCACACACTCACACTGTATGATGATGTCAGTTGTGTATTTCTTCCTGTGAGGTAGTAGATAATAGGTGCTGATAGGAAGAGGGGAAAATCAGAACCAGGGAAAACCTCCGAAAAACTAAGCATGAGAGCTTGTAGAGAGGAGAATTAACACTCTGTAATGTCTTCCGGGTTTCTCAAACACTAAAGGGGGCGCTCCAGAGCGAGTCCAAAATGAATGAATTAAGATGGAGCATTTGAGCAAAATCATAGTTTATAAATGTTTAAACATTTTTAATGTAAAAGAAAACATTTATTTCCCGAACACAGAACAGCATAAAACATTTACATATTTGTATATATTTATATATTAACAGTTATATTTTCAAGAGCTTTTGAACTCGAGTTGTAGGAGTTTAAAATGGCGCCTTATGTGCGTTCATGACGTCAGTGAGCGTGAACAGCCAATCAGCTGCTCAGCTCGCCAACCAATCAGCACTCACTAGCAGTAATGCCAGAGTCCTGCTGCCCAAAACATGTTTGCTGTAGAAAAAAGGAAATATGTAGGTAAGTTTTCTTTGTTTTTTTTTTAGTGAAATACGTCCTACTACTTTCTAAAATTAAAGGAAAGTTCTGGGCGAGTGATTAGAAACTATTTTAACTTTTTGTTTTTAGCCGTTTTAGCTCCATTTACTCCCATTCATTGAGGGCTTACTTGCGGACACCCTCTGGCATTTTGCAGTCATGTTTTTGATACAATGGGGGAAATAGGAAGTGGCCAGGCTTTTCATAAACTGGCTCTGGTGTATTCCTTCCTGTGAGGTAGTAAACAGTAGGTGCTGATAGAAAGAGGGGAAAATCAGAGCCAAGCAAAACCTAATGAAATTGACTCAGCAATGGCTGAGAGCTACACACACCCCACAGAACACGTTTAAATTTGACATTCACTACAACACCAGTAGGGTGTCATTTTAGCATCAGTTTGGAAACAAGTCTGTGCTGTGGTGTAGCAAGTTTGGCCTGATAACTAAGCTCTCATTAGCTTAGCAAAAACGCTACAGACCCAAACACTACAAAACAGGTTTGATTTCAGCTTTCTGTCACTCCAATACCAGCAGCTCAAATTTTGCCCTCTCAGACATTAGCGTTTCATCTACACTTGTGTCAGCAGAACACTAGTCAAAATCTAGTCTGTAGCCTGCTTGCTAAGCTAAAGTTAGCCATCAAGCTACAGATCCAGAACAGGTTTATTTTTGCCTTTCTGTATCTTCAGCGCCATTTGCTCGACTTAGCTCCCTCAGATTTGAATCAATATCATCTAAACTTGTGTTAGTGCTATAGTCAGCCAAATCAAACATGTTCTGTGGTGAGCAGAGCTGTTGTCATGCTAACTAAGCTAGTGCTAACTAGCTCCTTTCTCCTGTTTAGCAGCACTGTTTAATGTTTAGTAATTGTTAGACAGACAGCATGACATTTATTGAATTATGACTTAAAAATAATTCAGTGTTCACTTACATTGTTCTTGTAAGCAAACAAAATGTTTTATTTTTCGATTTTGAAATAACGCAGGATGAAAAAGAACAAAAGCGACAAGTGCTTTTTATGTCACTTATGATGCTTTTACTCAGCACAAGGTTTCAAAAACAGTATCAGTTTTGAAAAAGAAAAAAACAATGCCATTTCTGAGTGTAAATAAAATTCTATTTCAATATAAACGTAAAATTAACTTACATAAACCTCATGTCTGAGCGCCTATGTTAAACGGGTGTTTTTGCTGTAGTATAAAAACAGTCAGTGAAACTGCTACATACAAAGACTGGCAAGCATTTTTCCAACTATTGTAGCTGTTCCTGCTGTTCTCTTAAAGTCCCTCATATTTGGATGATGGATCATTCTTAACACAGCAGGGACAGTGGCAGTGTTAAAGTAGCGTGTGTGCTGCCTCTATGAATGTATTGGGCATAGCAGTGTTACTGGACTAATGCTATGCAGAGGGTAGCTCTGTGGTCAGAAACCATTGGTGAAGGACTAATGAATGGCCAACATAAACTGTGCATCAGCAGATGGGCTACAGACTCTCACTGTACACCACGAGATAGGTGTTTCGTAGTAAAGTGGCCAGTGAGTGCATTAATCTTCATTTGGCACCTCCTGCCACTCAGCTCATTTCAGGGCCCTGTAGAGCTGAAGCTGTACGTCAGTCTTAGGAAGTGATATTTGAGCTGTTCACAGTTTTTAGGTATGACTAAGCGCTCATATGCAGCAGTGTATTTATAGAGCAGGCTAAAGCTGCATTGACTGTGTCGTGTTGCAGATGTAGTCGAGTTAGGAGTGCAGAGTCAGCACATTTTATTTATAAAAGTGTGCTTTAACAGGATCTGTGCCAGATGGAGCAAAAGTGCCACCGTGGACACCCACACTTACACACGCACAGCCAAATACGAATTGGGTTCTTGTCTTTCACTCACATATGTCCTCCCATTTTCAAACATCAAAAGGCTCCGAACAAGCGCACACACACAAAGTTTACTCAATTGCAGCGAATGGGTTTTTCGGTAGTGACAATTCTTAATGTTACACACTCATTTTCAGGCTTTTGGACACATTTACTTCAAAACAGTGGGATCTAACTGCTCACCATGTGGCCATGAGGGACAGGGAATGCAGTCTCACTTCCTGCTCTAAAATCCAGGGGTGTGGTTAGAAGAGGGTAGGCCTATTGCCTAAAACTGTGTTTCGGTAGTGACATGAAAACGTGGAAGATTTTTTTTTAACAAAAAAATTTTTATTGAAATTTATGATAAATCTTATAATTTCATTTTAAAAGAAATCAAGAAAATCTTCTAAAAAAAAAAAAGTAGGCATTATTTTTACAAGGTAAGATTGAGGGTTTAGGGTTTGGGACAGCAACCTCCAAATAGAAAGTGCCTCAAAGAATGCCTTGGCTTTAACCAGATCATGGCATACTCCTTGTAAATAATCAAGGTCTGAATCCTTAATTGTTTTTGTTTTTTTTCTTGTGCTATGCAACCGCAGTTTTAACTAATTCAGTAGAATGGTCGAGATACAGTCGTGTGCAGTTTAGGCCTGAGCGAAAAGGTGATGTAATAGGATATCGTTGATAATTGACAAGTAGCTTTAGCTGGAAAGGCGGTAATCGCAGTGTTGGGAAACTGACATAGAACTAGAGAAGATTAATTTGGCTTTAAATGGCTTGCTGAATGACCAATAATATGTACACAGTGTTTTATTTATTTTACTCTTATCAATGGGTTATTGTGGGGTTTTCACAAGCTATGGGTGTGATTTACTCTGAGAAAAATTCACAGCATTTCCTTTACAGTTTAAGTGTCCTAGTGGTTTAGATGAGCTAAATTATGAAACTTATGAATATATAACATTGCATGTTTTTCCAAAGGTGTCTATAGCTAAATTCTAGAGTGACTTCGCTATAATGACAGAAAACACTTCATTTTTTAATATGTCAAGCATGTGGGTGTGGCTTAGGAAACCACTCATTTAAAATGTGTAGCAGTTGGAGGTTTCTCCGGCAAGGGGCACTATAAGCATACAAGTGTCATCACGAACATACACTAGAAGGAGCTCATGAATTCATGCGTTTGCAATAACATCTATTAAAACAACAGGTGAAGTAGTTTTCAAAAAATGTTTGTTTACTCATTTTTTATATCACTTACTATGCAATTTTTGAAAAAGATTTTCATTAAAACAGTTAATGATCAAAAAACAAAAACAGAACAGAAAGTAGGTCTAAGCTGCAGCGGACCATGTGTATTGGGGTGTGTGTTGGGGGCGTTGTTGTTGATATCACTAGAACTAAAAATATTATGCTAGTTATTTTTAGATATCTCCCAGGCCTAAATAAAAAGTTTGGGCACCCCTAGTAAAATTATATTTTGTCAATTTTGTCAAGTGAAAAGATAGCATATCCTCTACAGAAAACACAGTTCTGCACATTTTAATACACATTTTTTGTGTATTTGCTGAATTGAACACACAATTTATATTTTATCTTTATTATATATGTTAAACTAATAAATAGACACTGTGCACTAAAAAAAAGCCGGAAAATTGCAACAAGTGCAGAAAATTGAAAAGTTTGATCTCTGTAGAGGATGTCAACTGTTTTCACTTATATAACATGACCGGAGGTGTTCGGACTTTTGCATATGAATATATACACAGAGCTACAGAATACAAGTCCATAACTACATTTGTCCACGTCAGAGCCCAGATAAGGTTGCCTGTCTGAGATCACCACTGAATTATTTAGGGTTGCCACAGCGATGTGCATGGTAACCACACTCGGCAACATGGATTCAAGAGAGTGTGTGGCAGTGTGTTGGTATGTGAATGGCAACTGAAGCCTTAAGCCTCAAGAAGAGTGTGTATGAGAGTACATGAAATAGTGGGAGTGTTTGTGAGAGTGTGTTAGTGTGTGAAAGTGAGAGAGTGGGAGAGAAAGTTAGTTAGTTTGAGAATGTGTGCGGGAGTGCGTGTGAGAGTAAGAGAAAGTATGTGAGAGTGTGAGTGATGGGGTTTTAGAGTGTGTGTGTGTGTGTGAGTGACATTGAAAGTTGTGGGTGAGTTATCTTTATATTGCAAAAGAAGCATTTTTTGAATTCATTATTTCTTTGATGTCACAAAAACCAGCACATTTACATAAATCAGCCTATACAGCCTACAGCAGTCTAACCCTGCCCACTCACACTGAAGTTATGAGTATTTCAACCCAAACTGCTTTTTGAATGAGGCACAATACAAGACAGCCAATTAGAACAGAGCTCATGTATGTATATCAGTCCCAAAGGCACAGCAACAAGGAATAAAAAGAGGTTGGAAATGTTCAAGTTAAAATGAATTATGACCGTTTTTGGTTCATAAAACCACACGAACATTGTAAGTGGACCTCAGAAGGAGAAAATAAAAAGCAAGAAAAATATGTGTGATGGAATTAGGGTTGCCATGGTTTCATCTGTGGTTTGTCCAGTGGTTAGTGCTTCAGAAGTCTTTTTGTTATGTTTAATGTTTTCTTAATGATGGGGCTGTATTTAGGTCCAGGCAGTGAGAGAGATCGTTCACTGGTCTTGCTTTTACTCCACCCACAGTAAATGACAGACCTCCAGTACTGGACCCCGAAAGTGTTTATTCAGCTCTCTTCTGTTTCGGCCTTTTCTCTCTCAGTTTTTAACTCTAGCCTTTCATCAGTTTTCTTATTCTTTAACTGTAGTTTATTTTCGGCCATCCCTGTTAAACAGGACAGTCGGCTATTCAGTTATGGTCTTCTTGGTCAACTACGACCAGTCAGTTTACTAGTTTCTTTCAACTGTTTATTTGTTTTTTAGTTTTGATTTGGGTTTTTTTTTGTGGGCAAATTATATTTAAGTCTGTAGATATTTTGGCAAATTGTTGCTGTTGTAGCAAAAAAATCTCCAAAATGGCCTCGTTTCAAGAGCAATGTGAGAAAAAATACTGTTTTAATGTACATTAATGTAAAGTGTTTTTGGACTATTTCTATTCATACATTGAACAATCATGGAAAACTACATTTTCCTTTTTTTTTGGAGTAAGAGTTTGCTGCAGTATGTAAACATTGTTAAAATTTGATAATGTGTCTTTCACTCTCCAGTCAATATATGGAAAGCAAAAACGACCCATTTTGGAGTCATTGTTTTTGTGAAGTCATTAAAACCTGCACCTTTACTTAAATCAACCTATTCCACCTACAGCAGTGTAGCCCAGTCACCTCACAAGTTATAAGGAGAGTTTCAGCCTGGACTGCTTTTTGAATAAGAGACAATACAGGGCAGTCAATCAGAACAGAGCTCATTTGCATATATCACATATATATGTGTGTGTGTGTGTGTGTGTGTGTGTGTGTGTGTGTTTACGCTGCTGTGAGTCTCCCTGTAAAGTCTGATTTAAAAGTGTAAAAGTCAGTGGTGTTGAGTCATATTTTGCAGAAGTTTTTTGGACCACGTCATACATCTTTATGTATTATCGTCACATTCAGACTCAAAAAGAATGTCACCAAGTTTTGAGTTCTCTTTCAACACTCTCACAATCATCAGATTCAAGGTCAGGGGAAGGGGTCTGAGGCACGACTGATGTTACAAAATTTTCTTCCTCCAAATCCCCAAATCTTACATAGTGTAACTTTAAGTGGACCTCAGGGAAAAAAAGAAAAGTTGTAACTTTACAGGACAATAAAGTTTTATGTAAGTTAATGTGAAGAGATTTTATGCCGAGTTTTTGTAGAGCATTTCCATTGGTCCATTCATCATGAAATTTTCACATGAATGAAGACACTTTTTTAATTTACTCGAATGTAGCTTGAGAAGTGTGATAAAAAAACATTCTCAGTAACATATGTGGAGTGAACGCTTCTGTTTAAGACAAACTAGTTTTTACAGTCCAAAGTTTTGACATGCTGTATTATCTTTTTTTCTGATAGAGGAGAAGTGAGTAGTTGAATTTCGCTCATTTCAATCATTTCATTCATTGTGTGCAGTGTGTGTAGTTTTATGTGGTGCGCACGTGTGTGTGTGTGTGTGTGTGAAAGAGAGAGAGAGAGAATGTGTGTATGTGTGTGTGTGAAAGAGAGAGAGAGAATGTGTGTATGTGTGTGTTTATGGACTGCAGAATAGAGGGCCAATAGAGGGACTGCCCTGCAGTCCATCTCTCTTACATAGTGTGTGCAGAAAGAGCTGCTCTGTAGTTCTGCACTGATGATGACTGATTGGACAGCAGTGTCCTTTACACAGAGAGAGAAAGAGAAGTTCAGTGTGTGGGGTGTATGAAATGAACACGGCTAGAAAGTGTGTCAGTGTGTGTGTCTGGGAGAGAGAGAGAGAGAGAGAGAGAGAGAGAGAAGAAGAGGGAAAGATAAATCTGGCTCCATAAGTGTGCTCTCTCTCACACTCACACACACACACACCAATTATTTTGTCATTGTGATTGCAGTTGAGATCTCCAACTAATCACAAATGTGTTTTTGTGTTGAGCATCCTGATCAATCACAGACCTTCCACATTTCATTCATTGTCTATTTGTGTGTGTGTGTGTGCGCGAGTGAGTGAGTGTGTGAGTGTGAGTGCGAGTGTGTGAGTGATGAATGTTGAGTGTATACAGTGAGGGAAAACCAGTATTTGTTATTTAATATATATGCAGTGCATATATCCTCATCACATTTATACACACATCATGTTTTTTTTACTTATAACTACAAACAAATGTATGTATCAGTAAGAATAAACAGAGATGTTTAAAATCTGACAAAAGCAACAGTAAGACGTTTTTAGCTTTTTGCAGTGTTGTGGCTCAGTTTTGGCTCATTCCTGTTGGCAAACCATCTTCAGTTCCTCAAGGTTACGAGGGTCCCTCTGATGGACTCACAATTTCAAAATCCTCAGTTTTCCTCTAACATGTCTGGGATACATCGATACGTAGGTTTATGTGTGAGTGAGAGAGAAAGGAGAGCAGAGCGAGGTGGCACAAGCATAATACATTTGCTGTTGTATGTTTAATCTATGTAAGCACTGACTTCACCAATACAATTTTCAGTGTGTACTGGGCCAATAAAAGGATTATGATTCTAATTCCACATTGACTTCGGCTCGTCGGGCTTTGCTTTGTGTTAGGATGTTAGGATGTGTGAGGAGAGTGATATCATTCATCCAGAAACAGCCCTGTAAAATCTCCTCCATTCACTGACCTTCTACTTTGTGATTCTGTCCTTCAGAATGACCAGTAAACCTCTTTTGTTAGATTTCCTGTTGTTCAGTGGGAGATGTGAAAGCGCCCCCTGCTGGCTGGTTCAGCGTTAAAGTCAATCTGAAATCAAAATTGGCCTGTTTAGTTCCTGTCCCTGGTTATATTAAACACAATTCATCACATCATTTAAAAGACAGAATTCCTTTTTTCCTGTAGTCTTCCATCAAGACATAATGACTTTTACTCATCTTCTGATTTTGGATTGTGTCACCGGGCACCAGCGGGAAAAATAATATTAACCAATAATGTTTCACCCCTTCCTACAGCCCCCTGCTATTATCAAGAGAAAATGCTCAGCTAACTCAGAGACCTCCCCAACACCATAATACCACTCGGAATACATCACTGTACAGAAGGAAAACCATTTAACTGGAAAACTGTTTACACTGGAAAGTTTAACTGAAAAACTGTTTGCACTGGAAAACTGTTTACAGTAAACTGTATAACTAAAAACTATTTTTACTGTAAAACTGTTTTACTTAAACCTGTCTACACTGAATTATTGTTTATGATGAAAACTGTTAAGTTCAAAAATTGTGCAAAATTAATTCTACCGGACTTAAACACTGACATCGTTCCTGTTTTGTTCTTTCATTTCTCAGGAGGTCGAGGGGAGAATGGCAGCCCCATCATCATCTTCCCAGAGTTCCCTGCGTTCAGTGAGCTGCAAGAGCAGGAGTTCCACAATGTGCTGACGTACCTGACCAGCGTGCCCAGGTGTGTTTTTCTATCACAAGTGCATTCACGCCTGAATGAGTTGTGTTTATGAGCTGTGTGTGACTTTCAAACCTGAAGCGATATTTTGTTTTACACAACTATGGCAAAGTTTTGTTTAAGATATGTTTGGTGTCTGAGTTTTGCTTGTTTAGTTTTATGCTAAAGCGATGACAGAAATGTAGCTAAGAAATAATAGACGTTTATGTACATATCTTCGCACATTCATCTCAGAAAAACAAAACGCACATACTAGAAGCCAATGGGCTTTCTCTTGTCAGTCTTATGTGTCTTATCTGACACTCTAATGATATCATGAATGTCATGAATATCTTGGAAATTGTAATGTCAGCTGCATTTAGTGTCAAGGGGAACTGTAAGTTTCATTTTTTGCCAGACTGTCTTTAACAGTCCAAACTAAACTGTAGCCCACAACAGAATAACGTATTTGTATTTTATGTCGCTGTCATCGTGTTTTCAATTGGTATTATTTTTGTTCTTGTCCTACTGCAGCCCCTAGAATTAGTTGTAAGTATATAGTTTATTATAGTTATGTAATTTTCCTCATTTTTGACTTACTTATGCAAGCCATCAGCTGAAAGCAGCCAATAGCAGTCTACGCAGACATGAGACCATACAAAGATGTCATGATGTGGACCTATATGTTTAAATTAACTAATAAAATTAGTTTTTAAACGGTTAATAATTGAGCCTTACTAGTAATTACATTAGTAATAATAGTAAATACTAGTAATTACATTAGTAATAATAATAATAAGATTTCAGCAGTTAGGCTACTAAAAATCTACTCACTGCCCAGTATCAAACGACCTAATGCCCGGAACCTCTGCTGAAAGTCCTTAACTGAAATTGTACTTCTTCATACTATTTACTATTCTAGAGCCTCCACTATTACATTGCACTTTAAACACAGTGTGTTCTCATTCTGTTGAGAGAGCAGTGAGTTACTGTAAGGAATTAAAGGTGTAGATTTGAATAGCCTTACATTAGCCACGGTCCTGCCAGCAGAGGTCACTGAAGGTTCGGCTTTTCCAGCAAGGCCTTTAAGACTTTGCATATTAGCACTGAATCATTAATATTTACATCAATAATAAAGCAGATCATGCTGGGTTTAGTTGCACTTGGTGAGCGAGATCGCGTTTTATGTTTAGATTTGTAGTTAATGAATATTTCAGCCTCCTGGTCCAATGAGAGAGAGCCTGCATACTGATGTTCATATATATATATATGCTTCAAAAGTGAATGTGTTTGATATTTAATTGCTAAACAGTTGACTGGTGCATAGGGTCATAGCTTAATTATATGTTTTGCTTCAGTGTGAAGAGAAATCCTTTTATCTCTCTCTCTCTCTCTCTCTCTCTCTCTCTCGGGAGTTGGGGGCAGTGAAAGGATGGAGAGAGGGGGAGAGTGAAGGTGAAGCAGACGGGAGGAGGGAGGTTCTAATTGCCTGAGGTTTTCAGGTCTCAGAATAGCATGCTGATGTGGATTTAATTTGGTGGTTCTTAGCTAAATGACTCTTCTAGAAAAGGACTTTTGGGGGTTGGGGGGGATATCAGTGAAAGAATGCCATCACTTTACATGCTAATTGACTTTGCTGCTTCGAGTTTGAGGGAATGCGTATTTTTAACATTTATGCTAATTTACGTCTGTTCGTAGAGTAATTACAGTAAAGAGGCTGATTCCCTTAAATTTTAGGGGCATTTTTTTAAACACTTTGTTTTTTGTTATTCATTAAGTAGATGATCAGAATAACAAACTTACTAGGCTAGTTTACCTCTGTTAAAATCAATGTTCATTGAAAATCCTGATGTGCTTTGCTTTTATACTTACTGCTAGCTGAGTGTTTTGTCTCAGTGATGGTTATGAGCAGGGAAAGTGTTCAAACCTGAAGCGATTTTTTTTTTTATTTGATATCATAACATTGTTGAAGTTTGAAAACATACTGCTCACTCCTCCCATATAGTACATATATGGAAAATAAACCGGAAAAACAGCCAGCTTTCAGTTCACTGTTTTTGTGATGTCACAAATAACCAGCACATTTACATATATCCACCAATTCAGCCTACATCAGTTTAGCCCCACCCACTCATGTACAACACATGGCACAGTTACAAAAACAGCCTTGCTAAGGGATAAAGAGAAACTGGTGATCATGTTATGAATTATGAATGTGTTTGGTACATAATCTCATACGAACATTACAAGTGGATATCTGTGTATATAAAGAAAAAACAAGACAAATGTAGAATATGGGCCCTTTGATATTACTTTTTTCTTCAGTGATGTAATCAAAACATTTTGGAGGCAAGTAAAAGTGACTACCCTTTGATCAAAGATTATGGAAAACCAAGAATTTTGTCTTTTAAATATATAATATAAATATAATAAAATTAATTGTGCTTAATATGACCATGAAATAACAAGGTAAAAAAAAAGTTTACTTTAATTTCGGGTTGACTTTAAATCTACAATACATCATGGTGCATCGATCTGAAGTTTAGAGCTTCAGAATTAATTAGAATTCTGTAATATATGCGCTTATATTTTTGGCCAAGTTAAAACATTTAGGCTTTTTTTAAACAAAGAAATCCTCCCCATAAAGCTTTCTCTATTATTTTTATTGTTTGAAAGTCAACTATTCTCTGTTTTTAATGCTAAACCCACTCAAAAAAATTGAAAAAAATCAGTAAAGATTTTGAAGAAATTTGAGAGAAAATGAGATGATGCAATAAATAATATTTTTTTTAAGAATCGTAATCGTACGATTGTCATTATAACGTCAAAGATTTGCATCCTTATTCCAAAGCAAACAGCACAGAGCACAAAGAACTCCCCCCTTCACTGTTTGAATAGAGGTTAATAATGAGTAATCAGCTGAAGCCGGTCTGTGAGATCGAAGCGCATCCTCAGTGCTGGAGGCTGTGATGGCCCTGCAGTGCTGAAGCTTTGGAAAGCATGGCCACTCTTACTGATGAAAAACCGCATCCCCTCTTCAGCCCCTCCTCCTCTGCCTTCCCTCTTTCTCTCTGTCTCTCTCTGTCTTTCTGTTCTGCCTCCAACAGGGCAGTGGAGTGTGGGGAATGGCAGGAGAGGGAGAGAGAGAAAGGAGGGGTGAGAGAGGGGGAGTCCAACAGGAGGGAAGCGAGGGAGAGGAAAAAGAAATGAGCTCATTTCTTTAAGAGGAGGAGGAGAGGGTTATATATAGAGGCACCGGCTCCCTGCCCCCATGTAGTGCACCACAAAATAATGCCTCATACACATTGTGTACTGTATGTACTATAGGGAGGCATTTGAGTGGCAGTGAAACGCATGGGCATCCACAAGTTACCAGCTTGGCTAAGCAGAACCTGCCCATAAAAAATCACCATATAAAACAGTCCCTCCCTCCAGCCCTCCATATTAGCAATTCAAGTGAGCCTGCAGGCTGCGGTGTCCGTCAGGGTCGTTCTGCGCTGTGATTGGCTGGCAGGGAGCACCTGATGCCGCAGGATTGGATGAGAGATTGAGCGCGGAGGCAGCCGTAAACAGAGGGAGCTCCAGCAGTGCTGAGAGAGAGAGAGAGACACACACATATACACACTTACACACACACATACACACTGAAGCAAGGCCGTTTTGCGGATTTTGCCGAGACCAGCAATCAACACTGCTTCCACATAAGGACATCATAAGGACTACAGGCCTCCTTCAAGCTGAACTGCTTCATCGTTTTTGGCTGAAATAGTGGATTTCTTAAGGTGACTGTTGTAACCATGGCGATGCAGCACAGTGCTGCTGAAGGAGCTAACAACCGTTTTCCATAGTGATGGATGTAGCAACCAGCTCAGCATCTCTACACCGTGTCGCTACGGTTACGATCTGGACTAAGAGACCTCCCTGTATGTGTGTGTGTGTGTGTGCACGTGTGGGTGTGTGTTCATTATTGGTGATAACATGGCTCATGGACACGTGAATAGGCTTCTTGATTAAATATTGTAGGAGAATATGTGGAGTCTATAAGATTGCCCTGCAGTATGGCAGTATGGAGGCTGATTACATATGTGTTCAAGAGGAATACAGTATACTATGTATCTATAACATATGCCTTTACATACAATACAGTATGCTACTTGGCTCTGTTACATATGTCTTTATAGTGGGATACAGAATATTGCTGCAATCTATTACATAGGCCTTTAAAGAGGAATGCCGTGAACTAATGCAGTCTAATACGAAAACAGTATGCTGTTGAAATATATTATCTCCTTGGTTACAAATTATCTATATATATGTGTGTAAAGAGGAATACATTATACTACTGAAATGTATTACATATGTGTTTAACAACAAATACGGTATGATACTGTGTTCTGTTAAAAACAGTATTAATATATATATTACAGCGCATTAGGGTTTGAATGGGAATTTGCCGTAGTGTAAGATTCCAACATTTGGGCAAATATGTTGAATTATGAATATTTATTGTCTGGTACACTTGGATGTCATAGATAGTATCATGTTTTATGGGTAAAATTCAGGCTTATAGTAAAGTGTGTATGTGAGAGAGAGAGAGAAATAAATGTGCTGCCATGGTGACCGTGTTGCTTTGCTTCGTAGCCTCAGTGCATCAGGAGTTGGCTTCATCCTGGTCATCGACCGCAGGCAAGACAGATGGGCATCGGTGAAGGGAACACTACTGCGCATCGCGGTGAGTGTAACACCCTGAATGTGCGTCAGCAGTTGTACACACAAACACATACTCAATCTTTTGATAAACAGTACTGTCCAAAAGTCAGAGACCACCCTTCATTTATTTCAATTCCAGTCAAAACCATCATCATGTACAATTATTTTTATTTTGATCATTGTCATTTTTATTGGGGGGTATTTCTGAGGAGATTAGATATGAGATAATTCATCTGCACAAGAAAGATGAAAGCTCAAGGAAAATGAAGACAAAAGAAGAGTTTCCAAAACTGTGAATTCCATAAAGTGATTAAAACATGCAGGGCAAAGGGGAGTCCTAACAGCCATGCAAGACCACTTATTAGATCACCATCAGATGATCAGTACTTAAAGCTTTCATCTTTGAGAAAGAGGAGAAAATCAACATACATTCTAGCATTATATCAGACCACAGGTGTTTGTCCATCCTTCTGCTTTCAGCACTATGAGTCTGAAAGGATGTGTAGCTGTCAAAAAGCCCTTACTGAGAAAAGAAAATAGAAAAAAAAGACAAAAAACAGCCCATTTGAAGAAAATCTACAAATCAAACAAATCAAATCAAAGAAGCTGCTGGTGTTCTCAGAACAATGGACTGACCACCCCAGAGTGCAGACCTCAACATCACTGAATGTGTTTGGGTTAACTTGGATAGTGAGAAGCAGAAAGTGCACCAACTTCTAAGACTGAAAAATATCCCTGCAAATTTCTTTGAAAAACTGAAAGCAAGTCTCCTGAAAAGAGTAGTAGCTGTAATAACTAAATTCACTGAATACTGAAAAAATAGATTTAGTTGTCTAGGCTTCTGTGTAGTTTTCTGTTAAATATATGTTTTCTGTTTTTTCCTGACAATGAAAAATGAATAATTTGTACTCAATGGTTGTTTTGACTGGAAATGAAATTAATAAAGGGTGGTCTCTGACTTTTGCATGACTGCTGTTTTAAATATATACAAAGCAGCAGTGGTTGACAGGTCTGTGCTCTAGGCATTGTGTGTGTTGAGCTTTCAGTGTTTCCATGTTATTCAACTCAAGAGAAAACAAATTGCTCGCTTCTTTTTATAGACACTCTTAATATTTCATATCTAGTCTGTGCCGCTCAGAAAAGCTGCTGCACTCCAGGCCAGTTTTCCATACATAGACCAGGCTCAGACTAGACTGCACTGTCAGTAAGGCACTGAAAAGCCTTCATAATATAGACTTTGGCTTAAATTACATATAAGATCTTGCAAAGTTTGTGAGTCATAAACAGGTCAACAAGGGCCTCAGAGGAGGTGACTACATAACACCATTAAGGAAAAGTGGTGGTCAGTCTGCATTTTCTTTCTGTGCCTCACCTGATTGGAATTTCCTTCACTCTGACTTAAGAAGTTTGACAACCACTGATCTATTTTCAAAACAACAGTGACTGTTAATGTCCTGCTTTAAGTGCTTGATGTTCATTTAATACACTTGAAGGACTTGCTGAGTAGAACTGATATGCTATTATGCTCTGTCTGTATTGAAGGTGTGGACTGTTTGCTGTGGTTAACTTTGACATTGGTAACTGTGGTCAATATCGGTGGTCATAATGTTTCATCATGTTTTGGCTTTCTTGGTCCAACTCTCAGTGGGCCTCTCTGAGTTGACAACAAATGAAACGACCACAGGGGGGTATTCCACCAGGGCTTTTTGGGGATCTGTGTGTGTGTAGTAGGTTAGTAGGGGAGAGGTCACTGGGCTAATCTGATTAGCGGCGTTTACTGGATCAACTCAGAGAAACTCTACTGTACTGAAGATTCCACTTTAAGCTAATTGAGTAAATATGGATCGCACGAAAAAACAGAAATGTTCACACTGTTGGTAAACATGAGTTAAAAACTGTTTTGTTTTTGAAAAGGATGTTTATTTTCCTCTTTGAAAGGTTAGAGTTCTCTCATTTTTAGTGTAAAATCATGTGGATAAAGAGCAAACACATTTCCATAGCTTTAAAGCTAATCTTAGCCTAATTGTTTGCTGAAACAAGGGTGCCAAAAATTCTGCAGTGTGCTAAGGTCATCTTTTGTGACCTTATAATAACTGCATATTGCTCACCTCATCACACTATAAATCCCAATTCAGCATGTAAACCAAGTAAATGTTATTGTTGTAGTACTCAGCCCGAGGTAGTTGGTATGTGATGCTAGTCATGATGCTAGCACAAGCTAGTCTGGCTGTACGTTAGTAACTTGTTTAGGCTGAGGCTGCTAAAACTATAAAAACCTTAATCTTCTCACAGCGTAAAACAAAGGGAGGGAAAAAAAAACAGTATTTAATGTTTCTTCAATCATTTTTGTCACTAGTTTTAGCAAAGAAGCATATACATTAGCAGACATTTCTTATGCTAACAGCATTAGCTCATGTGCAGTAAAATGAACCGGAGAAGTCTGATCTAGTGTTTAGCGTGGATATGCAGCAAATTTAATTAAGCACGACTTAATTTCATTATTCAATTAGAACAAATTGCGGACATCAGCCGATCTAGCCAATCTGCATTTAAACTGAAAGTGACTATTGACAAAGAGCTCTTGGCTTGGCTAAGAGTTTTCATATCGACTTGTGTAAAATCTGACATGGAGGTGTTTAACTACTGAAACACGGGACTCGTTTATAACGTTTATAAATGACCAGGTAAGAATAGTGAGTATTGTGATACATTATAATGGCTGATACTACGTATTAGCCTTACCTGGCACAGTGTTTGCTGATCCTGGTCCGGGATTACCACTGGACTACACATTGCTGTTCAAATGTTTGAATCAGTGTTTTCATTAAAATAAAACAAGTTTTGTTGCTCTATAAAATTATTCTATAGCTATACATGACTACTGTCGCCGATAGCAAGAGGATTGTGGGCCACTGTTGGCCCGCTAATGGCAAAGCTGGTGGTCCACTGGCATTTTGCTCAGCGTTTTCCAGGCGGCCCACAGGTGTTTAAGCAGAATAATAAACACAGTTCCACTTATCAGCACTCATTTTTTACTTACAGTCCAATTTACTTATTTTCCCTTCCTTTTTTTCTTTATTTATACTTTGTAAATTGTGTCAGCAGCACAATTCTATAAAACCATTTTGCATCAGGCCTAGTCATTTTTTTTTCTCTCAGTTGTTTGTAACATTTGTCTAAGTTTATTTTCTGAAATAAAAGTCTCTGTTTGGCAGGATTAAAAACTAGTTAGAGCTTGTGTGCAGGACAGTAATCTGGGTGGTCCAAAGGTCAACCAGCAGTGGCAAACAGTCAGTGGAGTGCTGACCTTATCAAGTCAGCGGATCAATATATGCAGACTGATATATTTTAAAATTTTCTAAAAAAGTTTAATACTGATTACTTAAAGAAGAGAAAATGTTGAACGTTATATAACACTGAGAATGAATGCCATGTGTTGGTTAAAAAAAAAGTGGTGAGCAAATTTAATGGCAGACAACTTATCAAGAGATTTCTGTGTATTTTATAGTATCTTAATCAGTTTATTAATCAATCAGTAGGAGTCAGTAACTTTCTCTACAATAAACCGTCTCACATAAAACCTCTGTGAATAACTTTGTTTACATCTCAATGGTGTTTTGCTTGCAGCATATTAAGTCTACACTGTAGAAGTGATTATTAAATTAAATAACAGAAATTATTAATACGACAAGTGATTTCAAACTTCTGCTCTAACAGGTCCCATTTTAAACTCCTGAAGGGGTTGTAGAGCTCACAGGTTAGAAAACCAGTAGAATATACAGTACAGAGGTCCTTTTAGGCCAGTATGGGCAGTTGCTGAATTAACCTTCAGAAGCCATAGTTATCAATGGTGACAACAAAAGCTGTAGTTTTATATTAATTGTTTCTCGCATGTAGCTCATTTAAAGAAGCAGAGAAATTCTGTCAGACACGCAGATTCTGTAGTTCCAGTCAACACCACGTGTGTGTTTGTCAGTGGAAGAGGAAATGTTTCATTACGGTTTGCATTTAACATGCATGACATGTTATTACTGTTTCACGAAAAAAAATACATTGTAGTTTGTGTTGCATTTTGACACTGAAACAGAAAAATGTCAGAAGTGCAGACTCAGTCCTGTCAGTACAGAATGTGAGTGAATCGAACGTGAATGTAATTCATTGTAAAACTCACTTCGTTAATAAGTACATAACTGTAGCAAAACAACAAGGGAAGTGTAGACTTCTAAGATTTAATGGTATTAATAGTACTGTGTTGATAGTGACTCTGAGTCTGAGTGCTTTGTTCTAGTGACTCTGTGAGTGCTGAGTGTGTTTGTGTGTTGGGCTACTGATTGTTTATGATATTGGAAGCTTGTGCTGTGTAGTGTTTTTAGCTGTGTAGTGTGTTTAGTCCGCAGCAGCGCGTCGTCTTTCCCTCTGCTGGCTGATTCTCTTTCACTCTGAATTTCTGTGTTTTTACTTTTTTAAACACAACACTGTCTCAGAGAATCTCAGAGCCTGCAGCACTGCACACTCATTACAGTACTCAGACACTTCCTCCTCTCTCTTTCCTCTTCTCTTTCTCTCTGTCTCTCGCTCTCTCTCTCTTTATCTGAGTTTCTTTTTCTTTTTTCATCTGCCATTTCACACCTGCTCTGTTAGTCACACATTTAGTGAAGTAACAATGTTATCTCCTCTCTCCCTCCCTCTGTCCCTCCCTCTCTCTCGTCTTCTTTCTTTCATTCTCTCTCTCTCATTTGCTCCACTCTTTCTTCTTTCTTTCTTTGCTTCCTTGTCTTTCTGTCTGTTTTTCTGTCTTGTCTCATTCTTTGTTTTTTCTCTTTATTTATTTCTTCTTTCTCTCTCTTGTTGTTCCTCTCTTTCTTTTTCTCTATCTCTCTCTCTCCCTCTCTTTCTCTCTCTCTCCCTCTCTCTTTTTCTCTCTCCCTCTCTCTCTTTCTCTCTCTTTCCTTTGCCTCCTCTTTCTTTCTTTCTTTCTTTCTTTCTTTCTTTCACTTTCATTTGCTCCTCTCTTTTTCTCTT